CCTCAGCCTTCCAAGTAGCTGGAACTACAGGCGCATGCCACCATGCCCAGCTAATTTTTTATTTATTGTAGAGACGAGGTCTCGCTAAGTTGCCCAGGCTGGTCTCGAACCCACAGGCTCAGGCAGTCCACTTGCCTCGGCCTCCCAAATTGCCGGGATTACAGGCTGAGCCACCAAACCTGGCCCCTTGTAAATTTTTGATGTTACTTTTAAGTGCCAAAGAGAAACTGATTACTACAGTGCATAATCTACTACAGAGGCAATGTGTTTGTGGCAGAAAGAACACTGGACTCAAAACCAGAAGTTGTAAGTTGTAAATATCCCCTTCACTAATTAGCTAAGTGCTTTTGGGAACGCAGAGTCTATCCTTCATCTACAAAATGAAGGGACTGAACCAGATGATTTAGCTCCAGAATTCCTATGCTAGGCATAAATTCTGTGAAAACTGCCTTAGTATTCAAGGATTAAAGGTTTTATTATGACAATTGTGGGCTTCTCACTCAGCAAATCAGATTATCTTATGGTTAAAGAGGTCATTGAGGTCACTTCTGCATATTCTTCTTGAGGGCACAGAATTCCCTTACACTGTTCCTAATGTAAAGTCTGTGGTGGTGTTTAGAGAACATATTAGAGCAGTGGGGTCTGCAGTGTGTAAGGATAGAAGCCTTATGAAGAAGTCCTCACCTTTAACTACCACAAAACAGGAGAGGGTATAGCGATCAAGTGTTCATTCAGGACTATGCTTCTGTAAAGAACTATACTCAGAGAAAGACACTGAGCCTCAGAAAAAGATAGGGGGAGGATGGCAGCCCCAGCTCCACGATGCCTAATGTGCAGATGTAATTAATAACTTCTTGTCTAATCTAACTCTGCAGAAGTCAGCATTTTTCTTAGAGATCCTTCACATCTGAGCGAGTACTCTATTAAGACAGTAGACCATCTAGAGATTTTGGGCAGGGAGTAAAGTGAATTGTAAAAAAAAAAAATTTTTTTTTTCATTTATGTATTATGATATTTGACATCTTAAAAAAAAAACCTTTCTGGTTGGGGAGAAACTGTCCCTCCGAGGCTAGTCATTTCTTAGAGGCAGCAAAGGGCCCAGGTACATCTTTGATATGCAGACTAACCAGTCCGGAAACATACCCCCTATAGCTGGTCTGCACACCCAGGAGACAGCATCCCTCTGCCTAATCATCCCAGGGCCAGGTGCCAGGCAATACAGGAACACCTGATAGCCTAGCCCGCTGAAATGATTCAGACTAGCCACTCTTGAACTATCTGCCCGCCCAGCTCTGCCTTTCCTGCAGAAACCCTAATAAAGGCACAGGCCAAAACCTGCCCCTGGTTCCTGTCTTCTGACTACCCTGTGTCATGTGGCCCTGTATGGTACGGCATCCCTCCTGTCTCTAGAACCTATGAGTATAATAAACTTTGCTTTTTCCTGGGCCTCTTACCCACATGACCATGTCATAAAAGAATATAAATGGAGGATAAGTAGCCATGGAGGTGTGGGGACTGCACATCTCTTCACTTATGTTAAATTCACTCATCTTTAAGTGTTTTAATCTCCATGTGGTAAAACCTCTTCCTTTTCATCCCTTCTGTCTAGGTACACTGGACATTACTTCATAACCACTTTATTATACTCCTTCTTCCTGGGATGCTTTGGAGTGGATCGATTCTGTTTGGGGCACACTGGCACAGCAGTAGGGAAGCTGTTGACACTTGGAGGACTTGGGATTTGGTGGTTTGTTGACCTTATTTTGCTTATTACTGGAGGGCTGATGCCAAGTGACGGCAGCAACTGGTGCACTGTTTACTAAAAAGAGCGGCGGCCATCGTGACCCAGGGAGGCAGGTGAGAGTTCGGGCTCCTGAATTCATCCCTACAGGCTCAAATGTTTTCTTTGATATCAGACTTGACCTTTCTTTTTCTCTTTGGAGGACAGGGGATAAGGAGACTTCTTTGGACTTTGGATTTTCAACCCAGAATTTCCCTCAGACTAGAAATGACAAGCAAACAGTGTTGTGGGACTCAAATGTGTACCCTTCCTCATGTACCAAACATAAAAGACAGGGATTAACTTTTTTTTCTTGAATTGGAGTCTCACTCCGTCGCCCAGGCTGGAGTGTAGTGGCATGCTCACGGCCACCACAGCCTCGACCTGCTGGGCTCAGGCAATCCTTCTGCCTCAGCCTTCCAAGTAACCGGAATTAGAGGCACGCGCTACCAAGCCCAGCTATTTTTTTTTTTTTTATTTAGTGTAGAGATGAGGTGTCACCAGGTTGCCTGGGCTATTCTTGAACCCTTGGGCTCAGGCAGTCCCCTCACCTCGGCCTCCCAAAGTGCTGGGATTACAGGCTTGAGCCACCATGCCCAGCCGGGACTAATTTATAAGCTGCAAAAGGATTTCCATTCTCTTTATTTCTGTACATTGCTATGTCTTCAATCTTTTGAAGCAAGTGGACTTGACAGAATGAGCAAAGTGAATATTTTTATCCACGTGCCTTTTGTGACCCTGAGTCTTCATGCAGAGGGGATGTGAAGCTGAGCCAATGAAAATCTTCAGCAGAAGTAGAAATGGCCGTGGATTTTAACACACACTGAAATTCTGAATTTAAAATGAAGAATAAATTTTGCCAACCTGGAGTGCTGTCTGAGTATTTTCATTAGGGAGAGTGAAATTCAAAATTATATTTGATTTGCAGAAAGCTAGGCATTTGAAATGAACCATCCTTTTTTTTTTTTTTTTTTTTTTTTTTTTTTGAGTAGGGGTCTCATTGTATCGCCCAGTCTGGAGTGCAGTGGCATGATCACGGTTCACCCAGCCTCGACCTCTTGGGCTCAAGCCATCCTCCCACCTCAGCCTCCCAAAGTGCTGGGCTCATAGGCGTGAGGCACTGCCCCTGGCCCAAACCACCCTGTTAACAAACCCTATTGTCTCACCAATACTATGCTCCAAAGGCAGTATATGCAGTGTAATAATTTCTTCATTCCAGTTATGTTTTGAAAGCCAGCACTATTAGACATGTAAGTTGAGCTATTCCTCTTGGCAGAATTGTCCTATCTAAAGATTAGCATTTACCAGTTTATGGAACCCATGTTATAGGCTGATAAAAAATATTTCATACAAGTTTCCGTAAAACTATTCTTCACAATTAGTTACAATAAAGTGAGGAGCCTCATGACCTTGGAAAAAAAAACACACTCCTGCTTAGGATGTGATTTACAGAGACAGTGAGAAGCTGAACACATTCTCAGAATAAGCACAGTAATAAATGCCGTCACTGTGGGCTACAGTAGTCAGAAAGGGACCTGATCAAGCTTTTGCATTCCCAAATCACTGGGAATAAGAGGAAATATACCGAATTATAAGTGGCTTCAGAAACTCAACTCCCATCCTTTGCAATCTAAGTTAAAAAGAACTTTTTTTTTTTTTTTTTTAGTTGGAGTCTCACTCTGTCACCCAGGCTAAAGGGCAGTGGCACGCTCCTGGCCACCGCAGCCTCCACTGCTGGGCTCAGGCGATCCTTCAGCCTCAGCCTTCCAAGTAGCTAGAACCACAGGCACATGCCATCATGCCCAAAAAAGAACTATTAATTATAAAATAAAAGGTGGACTTTTATGGCCAAGTCAAATGAAAAGCCTGTTATTTAGAAAAACTTAAAAATTCTAGAAACAATCGAGATAGACCTCACTCAGCATTTACCTCATGATAATTAAAGACCAAGAATCATAGTTAAGATAGCTTCCCTAGATACAGACTACATTTTGTAGCAGCTTTCCTAATTATTTCTGCTTTATCACCCCTGATTAATATGATTATAGTTCTTATATTTTTAAAAGTGACAACTGTGTAAAAAAAATTAAAATATTTTCTGTTCTGTCTTGAAAGTTCACACTGACCTTAACCTTGCTTATAGCAGAAACAGTTGGTAGACTCTGAATTTGTAACCTCTATACCCTAAGAAAGTAGTTTTTAAACTATTGTGAGTCATGAAGAAATGAGACCCTCTCCCCAGAAAAATGCACATGTACATAAAAGTTTGCATAGGAGGTTCAAGGATGCCATATTTTAAAACAAAACAAAAAACACCTCACTTCTAAAGAAAGTCTAGAAAACAGAAACTAAAGTTAAACTCTTACCCAAAATAAATCACTACTTTAAACCTTATCAAGTCTTACCTCATCTCACACTTTTTTTAATCCCCTAAAGATATTCATAAATTGCATCAAAGGTTGTTTTCTTTAAAAAATAAAAAACTGGCCAGGCTCGGTGGCTCAGCCTGTAATCCTGCACCTTTGGGAGGCTGAGGTGAGTGGATTGCCTGAGCGCACGAGTTCGAGACCCGCCTGGGCAGGCAAGACCTCATCTCTACAATAAATCAAAAAAATTAGCCGGGCGTGGTATCGCATGCCTGTAGTTCCAGCTACTTGGAAGGCTGAGGCGGAAGGATCGTCGGAGCCTGGCAGGTCGAGGCTGCGGTGGCTGGGAGCGGCCACTGTACTCCAGTCTGGGCGACACTGAGACTCCAACTCAAAAAATAAAAAATAAAAATAAAAACTCTAGCAGCTCCAAGACTTGAAACCATTCTTATCTGGAGGAAGAGCTTGGTTAAGAAGCTTAAAGTCTTATACCCTCTATCTTCAAAATAAAAAAAGCTAAAAGCCTGTAAATTATTGGAAGAAACTGTGTTATAGAAGAAGGCCCCCTCACAGAAAAGCTGTTGGAGACAAAAGTTTTTCCCATTGCTAGAGTGATAGTCTGAGAATCACTGATAATATTCCTGTATGACAATTGCAAGTGTCACTTTCAACTTGACTTCTCATCCTCTATGTATCCACAAACCCTGGCCAAATGTGATACAACCTGAAAAACTCACTAAAGAGGATTATTAAAAAATCGATGGCCTTTGCACTCGATTCAGGTTGCTTCTCAACATGTAGGAGATCGATCTATTTGTCTATGTGCATGTTATATTTAGTTGGAGAAGTTTTGAGCTAAGAAAGTATCCCTTTCTCAAGGTTAAATTAGAAACAGTGCCTGGTTTTTGGTTGTTTCCTATCTTTAAATAAAATTTTATCAGTTCTGCCAGACTTCCTGGCACCATGTCCTTCTTCCACTTGGCTTAGTAAGGTTTTTAGCAGCAGTATGGCACTCTCAACCTAATGATCCCTAAAGGTGTGTGTGTGTGTGTGTGTGTGTGTGTGTGTGTGTGTGTGTTTAAAGTGTCCATTTTTCTTAGAAGAAAGAGTTCCTAAAGCCCCTCACCATTTTTGGCACATCTTCAATACAAACCAGGTAATATAACTTTGGTTTTGTTAGGTAATCTCTTTTTAAGGCAAGATAATTAATTAATTATTTCAGGTGTCACAGTCAGGAACAAAGTTTGACTTCCCCGACGAACAACGATGGAAAGGGAATCACTGTCCTTAACAGCTTCAGTAACATCAGTTGTGGTAGTAACAGGTTGCCCATTTATGCTGACAATCACGTCATGGTCTCTCAACCCAGAGCTAGGAGAGGGAAAAAAAGAAAAAGAATTATGAAACTACAAGAAGAGTTTTACTTATCCCCATCTGGAATGTAATGCCTTTCTCGTGGCACTACTGTTTTGGTGGCATTAAATCTAGAAACCAGAAAACCAGAAATAGCCTCAATCCTTGCAAATCTGAGGGCTGCTCGAAAATATGCTGCAAGATCACCAGGACAATAGTACTGCTTACCTTTATACAATTAACATCCTAGCAGAATCATGTAAGACGTTTACTCCTCCCATTTATTGGATTTGGTTTGGAATGGGAAGTTTAGCTTTTAGTTAATCTCTGACCTCTGTTAACCTCAAGCATGCTCCCAGACTCACTAGCAAAAGTGAAAGGCTCAAGCACGCGTTTTCCCCAGACAGTTACACTGTGATCTTTTTGGTTTGGACAGTCCACCAACTTGCCCATCTTAAGCAAGTTTATGGAGCTGGAAAGTGTGCTAAGCCGTATCATAGACCTTCTGCTTCCAGTAAATCAAAAACCAGTCAACCTTCCAAGTCTAAATACTTAAAGCTATGGCTCTAGGCATCTTTTCCCAAAGTTGTGATTATATTCAGTCTCCAATGTAACTGCTTTGCATAGAATATATATTCTAAAAGCAAAAGCCACCTCCAAATATGAAACACTGCAGTAAATAGCCATGTTAATGCTTTGTCTTAAAGGTGAAAATAGGCTGGAAGAGGAACATCAAATTAAATGACCTCCAGGACATACCATGTAAGAGAAATGGGAAACTCAAGGAAGAATGATAATTTGGTAGTATTATCAAGATACATGGAGTTTAAAAAGAAACAGGAAATGTAAAGAAAGAGGATGTGAAGAAAAGCTTGAATGTAGAGCTGAAAGCAGGAAAAGCTTTAGAACAAGGATAGTTTAGAAGGATGCCTTATCCTAGTGCTGTGAGCAGAAAAACAGAAAAAGAAACCTGTGAATTGTTGCTGATAGCCCACACCAAATGTGAGACACTAAGGCTCAGACAGGATAAATGGCCTTTCTCGTGTCACACAACTTGTAAGAGGCTAAAGTAGAATTTGATCCTGGATCTTTCAGACTTGAAAGCCCATCTTCTGCTACTGTCACTCTGCCTCTCAGAAACACAAAAGCAGGATCACAGAAGGGTTAAACCAGGGTCCACATCTCTGCTCTCTGTACCACAGCTGCTTCCTCAGTAAAATAATACACATATCATAATGATGTTAGGGTACATACAAGTATATGAAACATTTTTCTTTTTAGTTGGACTCTCACTCTTGCCCAGGCTGGTGTGCAGTGGAATGCTCACCTGCCACCACAGCCTCGACCTGCTGAGCTTAGGCGATCCTTCCGCCTCAGCCTTCCAAGTAGCTGGAACTATTGGCGCACGCCACCACACCTGGCTAATCTTTTATTTATTATCTATAATATTGTCTATAATTATTATCTACAATTGGGTACATGGGGAGGACCCAAAAACTCAGGAATTTATTTATAAAAAACTGTGTATTCTTAAATGTTTACGTTTCAGTCACCTTCAAAGTACTCTCCATTTGATGCAGTACACCTATTGAGACGCTTTTTCCAATTTTGGAACTCATCAATTTTGATGCTTTTAGTGCCTCTTCTGTTTTTGTTTCACCTCTTCACCTCGACAAAACATTTTCCTTTGAGGACTTTTTTCATCCAGGGATACAAAAAAAGTCACTAAATCTGGTGAATGTGGAGGGTGGGGCAGAGAGGTCATGTTGTTTTGGGTCAAAAAACTGCTGAACACTCAGTGGGGTGTGGACAAGTTCGTTGTCATGGTGTGAGGAACCAGTCACCTGTTTGCCACAACTCGGGGCATTTCTTCTACAAATCGTGATGCAACCTTCTCAAAATTTCCAGATAAAAACTTTAGTTGATTGTTTGATCTGGAGGAACAAATTCCGAATGTACAAAGAGCCCGCCCTCCAAAAATTAATTCCAAATTTTTTGGAATTAAATTAGTAAAAGCCAGAAAGAATGGATTTCTCTTTATCACTGTCTTCCAACAGTAATTCGCCTTTTTTTTTTGAGTCAGAGTCATACACAGTCGTCAGGCTGAAGTGCAGTGACACGCTCAAAGCCCTGGCAGCCTCAACCTGCTGGGCTCAGGTGATCCTTCTGCCTCAGCCTCTAAGTAACTTCACAGGAGCATGCCACCATGCCCAGCTAATTTTTTTGATTTATTGTAGAAACAAGGTCTCGTCAAGTTGCCCAGACTGGTGTTAAACCCCTGAACTCAGCAATCCTCTGGCCTCTGCCTCCCAAAGTACTGGGATCACAGACTTGAGCCAACACGGCCAGCCTATTCTCTCACATTTTAACATACATACGAGTCACCAGGAGGTTTTGTTTAAAATGAAGGTTCTGATTCAGTGGATCAAAAGTGTGCCTGTGATTGCATTTCTAGCAAGCTCCAGCTGAATCTAATGTTCCTGATCTAGAGACCATATTTTGAGTAGCAGGGACTTAGCTGAAAAAATAGCTTTGGCCTTGAACCAGAAGTTAAAAACAAGGGAAAGGGGGGTTGGAGAAAGGGAGGAACTAGGAAAATCTAGAAAAGCCTGGGACAAGCCAAATTTAGTAACATGAGAGCAAACACCTAGCATGCTAAACAATTATTGCCCTGTTATTTCTTTCCCCCTAGTGAAAGCGTTGCCATAATCTAACCAAAACAGTGAGAGAGAGGTCATGAAGAAGTACAAGACAGAAACCCAGGAGAATCATATTTGTAGGAAAGCAACCTCAGTAGTTCGTATGAAATGTTTCAAAACAGCAGTGAAGTCAGCTGGAGAACCTTATCTAGGAGGCTGTTCTAGCTGCTGCTTACTACATGGGTTGTAGAGCTGGCCTCTGATACTGTCATCCAGAGTTCAAAGAAAAAAAGCATTTTAAAACAACTAAAACATGTACTAAAACGTTTAACACTCTGGATTCTTCCTATTCTTAATAACTACCAATAGTTAATAGTTATTAATACCAATAACTAATCATTATCAATTACTTAATAGCTTAATAGTAACTATTCATATTGAAAGGATAGATCTAGGAATTCTCTTCAAAATTAACTTAAACTTATGAGTTCTTGGACTATAGAGAACTATCTCCCTCCAAAAGAAGAAAAGATTTTACAAATATACAAGTCTAAATCAGAATGTCCTATAGAAATGTAATGCAAGCCACATAGACAATTTTAAATTTTCTGGTAGGCACATTTTTAAAAAAATTTTAAACAGTTTAAATTCATTTTAATAACGTATCTTATTTAGGCCAGACACGGTAGCTCATGCCTGTAATCCCAGCACTTTGAGAGGCAAAGGTTAGAGGATTGCCTGAGCCCAGGTGGTACATGCCTGTAGTTGCAGCTACTTGGAAGGCTGAGGCCGGAAGGATCACCTGAACCCAGCAGGTTGAGGCTGCAGTGACAATGAGCGTGCCACTGTACTCCAATATGGGCGTAAGACTCAGTAAGACTCAAACTCAAAAAATAATAACATATCTTATTCAACAAAATATACCCAAAATATTACCATATTAACATGTGATAAGTATTATTTTATTTTTTTATATATATTTTTTAACATTTTTTATTTTAAAATTGTGGGGTATAAATTTTTTTTTTGAGTTAGTGTCTCACTCTGTGCAGTGGCACGCTCACAGCCACCCCAGCATCAACCTGCTGGGCTGAGGCAATCCTTCTGCCTCAGTCTTCCAAGTAGCTGGAACTATAGGCGTGTGCTACCACACCCAGCTAATTTTTTTTTTATTGTAGAGATGAGGTTTTGCCAAGTTGCCCAGGTCATTCTCGAACCCATGAGCTCGGGCAATCCCCTCATCTTGGCCTCTCAAAGTACTGGGATTACAGGCTTGAGCCATCGCACCCAACTATTTTTAAAATTATTAATAGGTATTTTACACTGTCTTATCTAAGTCTTCGAAATTCACTCAAAACAGCATACACCCCCAAGATACTACTATACATTGATAATAATACCTTATACGATGCAGTGATTAAAGTGGAATGCAGTTCTTTCTAAACAAAAAAGGTATATTTTTAAAAAGTTTTTTTGAGTCAGAGTCTCACTCTGTCGTCTCCCAAACTAGAGTGCAGTGGCACATTCATGGCTACTGCAGCCTCAACCTGCTGGGCTCAGGCAATCCTTCCACTTCAGCCTTCCAAGTAGCTGGGACTATAGGGGTGCGCCACCATGCCCAGCTAATTTTTTAATTTACTGTGGAGATGAGGTCTCACCAAGTTGCCCAGGCTGGTCTCAAACCTGTGGGCTCAGCCAATCATCTTGCCTCGGCCTCCCAAAGTGCTGGGATTATAGGCGTGAGCCACCATGCCTGGGCTAAAAAAATATTTTACATTGTTTCTGGTTGGTTGGTTGGTTTGGAGTCAGGATCTCACTCTGTTGCCCAGGCTGGAGAGCAGTGGCACAATCATAGCTCACTGCAGCCTCGACCTCCTGGACCCAGGCGATCCTTCCACCTCAGCCTCCTGAGTAGCTGGGACTATAGGCATCCACCACCATGCCCAGCTAATTTTTTTTAAAAACTTTTGGGCCAGGTGTGATGGCTCAAGCCTCTAATCCCAGCACTTTGGAAGGCCGAGGCAAGAGGATTGCCTAAGCCGAGGGGTTCAAGACCAGCCTGGGCAACTTGGTGAGACCTCATCTCTACAATGTATCAAAAAATTAGACAGGCATGGTTGTGCGTGCCTGTAGTTCTGGCTACTTGGAAGGCTGAGACAGAAGACTTGCCAGAGCCCAGCAGGTCAACACTGGGGTGCCCATGAACATGCCACTGCACTCCAGCCTGCGCACCAGAGTGAGACTCAGACTCAAAAAAAAATTTTTTTTTGTAAAGACAAGGACTTACTATGTTGTCCAGGCTGGTCTTGAACTCCTGGGCTCAAGTGATCCTCCCACCCCAGCCTCCCAAAGTGCTGGATTTACAGACGTGAGCCACCATGCCCAGCCAACACTGCTTCTGGGTTTTTTAGTTTAAATTAATTAAAATTAAGTAAAACTTAAAATTCAGTTCCTCAGTCACACTGACCACATTTCACATATTCAGTATGCACTGTGTGTAGGTAGTGGCCACCACATTGGACAGAGCAAGTCTAAATCCTACATGCATTCACCATGGCACACATCTAGGAAAAATAAAGGTGGATAGACAAAGGCCTGCACTTCTCTTACCTTTCAGCAGCTGTTCCTTGAATCACTTCATAGACAAAAACCCCGGAATTCACATCAGGGAAATCCGGGTCTTGCCTTTTCATTTCTCGAAGAAGGCTAAGAGAAGTGGAAGGTTAGGAAACATAGTAAATTCATCTTCTGAGGCTGGTAAAAGCCTGGAACTTTTAGTAGCTACTCTGGCTGTTCTGCTCAAGGCTCACAGGGCCCGGTGAGGATTCCATCAAGCCAGTCACAATAATCCCCTTCTGGCTGCACTCTGATCCTCTATGCCAAAGCCTAGAACCACGAGATAGTATAAAGTACAGCCAATAGTGAAAGGAACTCTGCAGTTCACACTGACGCAGGCAGAGGCAGATACGTCCTGAGACAAATAAGGCCTATGGCCACAAGAGGACCTAGCTGCAGTCCAAATACTCCAACTTTTCTGTTAAGACTGTCCAGCCAGCTGGGCGCGGTGGCTCGCACCTATAATCCCAGCACTTTGAGAGGCAGAGGCAAGAGGATTGCCTGAGCTCAGGAGTTCAAGACTAGCCTGAGCAACATGGCGAGACCTTATCTCTACAATAAACCATAAAATTAGCCAGGCCTGGTGGTGCACACCTGTAGTTCCAGTTACTTGGAAGGCTGAGGCAGAAGGATTGCCTGACCCCAGGTGGTTGAGGCTGCGTTGGCTATGAACATGCCACTGTACTCCAGCCTGGGTAACAGAGTGACACACTAACTAAAAAAAAAATTGTCCAGCCATGGCTTTTGCCCCTGAAAAACAACCCAGACATATGAAAAACAGCCTAGACATATTCAAGCTCGTGCTTACTTCATAGTGAGGGGCAGCATTCGCAGACCCAGATATTTCTTCTGTGAAAGAGCCTTTCCTGGAAAGGAAAGTGATGATGTGTCACTGACAACAAACTTCTTTCCTTTTGGCAGAGCTTAAAAGACACCGAGTTCCAGAATCTCTTTGCTGTTATCGCTGCCCTTTCAGGCCACCCCCATGAAACACATGCTTTGGGGAACCTTTGTCATTAGCACATACATTCCTCCCACCCCCCTCCCCACCTCTAGCCCACAGATTGCATTTCCACCTTAGCTCAAACTTAATATGTCTGGGTACAACTCAAGCTTAGTTTCGTGTCTAGTTCCCCATTATTGCACCCAAGCCATCATTATAGGAACTGAGAACCAGTGACCCAGTAGTCTACAGGACTCAAACGGCTGTCTCCACAAAAGATTGGGTGCTCCTGAAAAACCCAAGAGGAGACCAAAAAATTCCAGCTCCCTTTACCTTTCAACTGGCGATCATGGTGTTCTGCCAAGAACTGTCTAATTCGATCTGAGGGAATGGCAAAGGAGATTCCTGCAGTTACCTTCAATGTATTTATGCCAATCACATCACCATCCTGGCAAGGGAGGAGACATCAGTCACGAAGGTTTGCAAACTGAACAATGCAAAACCAGGACAAGCAATGGAAGGAGTGAAGCTAGTCACTTAGGGTCAGAAAACAGAGGGGTAAGAGGAAATGTGTACTTCTTTAACAGAGAGCCATGGGCAAATTTATAAGGCAAATTGTGTGTCAGGTCAGCAAAGGGGGGCTGCCCATGTGCAGAAGTTACTGTCTTCTCAGGGACAAAGGGTCAAGGCTACTGAGGATTTTTCGTTTTTAAACTTGAGCCCACTTTTTCCTTTAGTAAGTTTCATTGATTTTAAAAGTGAGCCGCAGTTTGTATTTTGACATAGATAAGAAAACAAGGAGTAGTTGTCTTTTTATTACTTATATGAAACTAAAACTAAACATGGAAAAAGGCAAAAAGCTGTTGGAGTGTCAGTAACACTTCATCAACACTAATCAGAAGAATTAGCAAAATTTTGGGAACAAAGCTCTGCTAAACTAAGAGATGAGGTAGAAAATACTTTCCTTTTAATGCACTTCATCATCCTTTAGCCTTTGTTAGGTAATGAAAAGGATAGAAAAATATTTCTGATCATATTAAAATATAGGCTGGGCATGTGTAATTCCAGCACTTTGGGAGGCTGGGGTGGGAGGATCACTTGATCCCAGGAGTTTGAGATCAGCCTGGACAACATAGTAAGACCAAGTGTCTACCAAAAAAAAATTTATTAATTAGCCAGACATGGTGGTACACACCTGTAGTTCCAGCTACTTGGGAGGCCAAGGTGGGAGGACCATTTGAACCCAGGAGTTGGTGGTTACAGTGAGCCATGATCATGCCACAGCACCTCACACGGCAACAGAGCAAGACCCTGTCTCTTCAAAACAGCAATTTGTTTATAAAATACAGATTATAATTCATTATGACTGGAGTGTGGCCTGAAATTCTGTTCTAGTAAACTCATCGTCTAATGAAGGAGGCAAGGATTAAAAAAGCACGCAGGGCTGGGCTCAGTGGCTCAGCCTGTAATCCCAGCACTTTGGGAGGCCGAGGTGAGTGGATTGCCTGAGTCCACAGTTCAAGACCAGTCCAGGCAACTTGGTGAGACCTCATCTCTACAATAAATCAAAAATTAACTGGGCCTGGTAGTGCGCACCTATAATTCCAGCTACTTGGAAGGCTGAGGCGGAAGGATCTCCAGAACCCAGCAGGTCGACGCTGGAGTGGCAGTGAGCATGCCACTGCACTCCAGCTGGGCAATAGAGACTCCAACTCAAAAGAAAAAAAAAACATGCAATGCGCTGGGCATGGTGGCTCATGCCTATAATCCCAGCACTTTGGGAGGCCAAGGTGGGAGGATTGCCTGAGCTCATGGGTCTGAGACCAGCCTGGGCAACTTGGCAAGACCTCATCTCTACAATAAATAAATAAATAATTAGCCAGGCATGATGGCGTGCACCTGTAATTCCAGCTACCTGGAAGGCTGAGGCAGAAGGATTACCTGAGCCCAGCAGGTCGAGGCTGCGGTGGCCATGAGTGTGCCACTGCACTCCAGCCTGGACAACAGAATGAGACTCCAACTCAAAATAACAACAACAACGAAAAAAACATGCAATGCTATGAGTAAAAAGCACTCAGCTAGGCGCAGTGGCTCTACAATAAATAAATAATTAGCCGGGCATGATGGCGCGTGCCTGTAATCCCAACAATTTGGAAGGCCAAAGCAGAAGGATTGCTTGAGCCTAGAGGTTTGAGACCAGCCTGGGCCACAGAGCAAGACTTCGTCTTGACAAAAAAATCAAACAATTAGTTGGACATGGTGGTGTATGCCTATAGTCCCAGCTACTCAGGAGGCTGAGGAGGGAAGACCTCCTGAGCCTCAGAGGTCAAGGCTATGGTGAGCCATGATCATGCCACTACACTCCAACTTAGATGACAAGAGTGAGACCCTGACTCAAAAAAGAAAAAAAGCACTCAATAATTTTACATACAATTCGTTCTAAAAGCAAATGTGTCCGGGCACAGTGGCTCAAGCCTATAATCCCAGCACTTTGGGAGGCCAAGGCAAGAGGATTGCCTGACCCCATGGGTTTGAGACCAGCCTGGGCAACTTGGCGAGACCTCACCTCTACAATAAATCAAAAAAGTAGCCGGGCATGATGGCGCGTGCCTATAATTCCAGCTACTTGGAAGGCTGAGATGGAAGGATTGCCTGAGCCCAGCAGGTTGAGGCTGCAGTGGTTGTAAGCATACCACTGCACTCCAGCCTGGGCAATAGAGTAAGAGTCCGACTCAACAACAACAAAAAAGCAAATGTAACATTTAAAGAGAATCAAAAGCAGTCAGCTCAAAGGGACTCAGCATGATCACAGATGGTGTGTCAAACAGCCCTGCACTCTCTTATGTTTCCACATGTATCTGAACAACCAAAACCCTAACATTTACACTAGAAATGCTGCATAAATTTTAAGGATGAGATGCACACGAGCAGTGGATTCTGGTTGTGGCTTTTCTCTCATCTGTAAGCAAGTCTAGACCAAAAGCCCGAACAGACCATATTATGTAATTAGCATTTTTAGATGAGGGGCAGTTCTTAATCTGCAGCAACAGAGGGTCTTCAAGGGTTGACATGACATGACACACTTGGTCATTTGGCATCAATCTGGGCTTAATATCCAAGGCTTTTGGTAAGTAGTCAATGAACACAGAAACATTCTGAAGAGGGAGGTTTCGAAGTAAGCCAGAGCCAGAATCCTGGTGCCTTCACTGGGATGAGATCACTCACTAGAATGATAAAACCATCATCAATCTGGAATTTTTCCTAACCATTTACTTAAGATCCAGGGATAGAAAAGTACCATCCCATAGCTCTCTACACAAGAGCAGCACCCAAGTCTGCATCATGGAAAGTAAAGTCTTTGGAAATTAGTTAGAAACATGAAACAGCAAGCAAAGTGGTCACTTACCAAGTTCACCAGAGGTCCCCCAGAATTCCCGTGCTAGAGACAGAATGTGAAAAAGCTGTCAGTAAAGCCAGTAATGAATATATTTCTCCATGTCATTTATACATAGCTCCCAAAGGGCTTTACCTAAAGCAGCCTGCTATCGTGAGCTCTTGTTCCCTCAAGCTAGGTAAAACTGCGCCTCTGTCGCCACCACCTTCTACAGCCGAGGTGACCTCTATAACAGACCCTGGGAGACCACCCAATATCACAGATGCCAATGATCACATCACATAGGCTGCACTCTAACAGCATGCCATTCCATTTCTCCCGTGGGGATATAACTGAACTCTGCAAATCTCTAAAAGACCCAAGGGAAAAGAAGTCACCCTGACATCTTCTCACTGTCCTGCCGGTGTCTTATAAGCTGCAGATGGACCTCTTAAGTGTCTTACATTAATTATGGCATCAGTCTGGATGTAGTCTATGTCTGAATCCTTCAGGCCCAGCTCTTTGCCCCCTCGCTGTGTAGTACTGACAATTCCTGCGGTCACTGTGTTCTGCAGAGAAAATGGACTGCCCAAGGCCACCACGAACTCTCCAGCACGAAGGTCAGATGATCTTCCCAGCAGCAACACAGGAAGGTCAGTCTGCACAAGGTCAAGCACAGAGGAAAAGGACAAAAAGGGTGAAGAATAAATCAAGAGCAGAATTGGCCCATGTGGGTGTCTAACATATATATGACACCATCTCCACCATTTTGGCCCTTACTGTCTAAGAAGCACCGCCCACCCAGGTTCTACAACTGCCTTCTACTTCTTCCTCAAAGCTCAACTACCACCAAGCTCCCACTTGGTGATCAGGATCAGCCCTAAGGTCTAAAATGATCGCCTGAGCCCAGAAGGTGAAGGCTGCAGTGAGCCATGATCATGCCACTGTACTCCAGTCTGGACAACAGAGTGAGACTCTGACTCAGTCTGGACAACAGAGTGAGACTATGACTCACTCTGACTCACATGTTAATGTTGGTTGGTGTGCATAGCAAGGACCTCAAAGTATTCCTTAGCAGCTTTGAATCCATTGCAGTAATTTTTGGTAGCCTAAAACAATCAGAGAAATAATTTTCCCAGAAACAGTATCTATTTGAAGGAGTTGCAGGAGGGAAAAAAAGTCCGATCGATAGTTAATAGAAATTGTTAGGAATGTACAGACAGAGATGGAAGAAAATAAAAGAGGAAGTGAAGAAGACAGAAATCAGAAAAAAACAAATATTAGATAGAAAAGATGTGTGGGGCCGGGCGCGGTGACTCAAGCCTGTAATCTCAGCACTTTGGGAGGCCGAGATGAGAGGATTGCCTGAGCCTGCTGGTTCGAGACCATCCTGGGCAACGTGAGACCTCATCTCTACAATAAATTTTAAAAATTAGCCCGGCATGGTAGCGCGTGCCTGTAGTTCCGGCTACTTAGAAGGGTGAGGCAGAAGGATCGCCAGAATCCATGAGGTCAAAGCTGCAGTGACCGTGAGCATGCCACTGCACACCAGCCTGGCCAACAGAGACTTCAACTCAAAAAAAAGAAAAAGAAAAAGAAAAGAAAAGATGTGTGGGAGCAAAGTGGGAAAGAAAATATCAGCCAGTAGATGAAAATCCCCAAATACACAGGCTTGGGATTCAGCCCTCAGACACTCACATTTGGCTCAATCTTAATCAGGGCGAGATCCAATTTATGGTCGATGTCCTTGACAGTGGCCTCATACTGGACCCCACTCTGGAGCTCTACCTGAATCCGCTGCTGATTCGTGATGACATGAGCATTGGTGATGATGAGCCCATCCTCAGATACAATGAACCCAGAGCCACTGGAAGTGGGAATGTCCTTGCTGCTGAGAGGCGACCTGTCTCCACAAGGCAGGAGTATAAACAGAGGGCAGGAAAATCAGGGGATGTAGCCAGTCTGTGAGCCTCACATTTATTGAACACATCCCCATGACAGTTTTCTTAGACGTGTTACTCTTCCCTGTGTGTTTTTATTTTCTCCATGTGTCTGTGGACTCTGCATGGACGGTGCCCTGGCCATCTCTTGTGAACATGGCTGAGAGCCAGTTCCAGCTATCCTTTTCCTGGGACACTGCCGCCTTCTTCAGAGCTGGTCAGTGCGGCAACCCATGGGTCCTCCGCTGCAGAGAAGCCAACCTAATCCTAACACTGTGGGCAAAGTGGGCCTAGTGCCGAGATATCAAGGGCCCTGAAAGGAGGGAGTCAAAGCGCTCTGGTTCTGGCTTATTTCCACTAAGCCAGCTTTGTAGTGGACAAATTAATCCTGCTTTCTGGGTCTGGGTTTCCTTGCATGCAGACGAGAGGGGTGGGCAAGGTCACCATCAAGATGCCTACGACACTGCCATCACTGTTGTAAAAACACCTTCATAAAATTGATAAAAAGGCACAAGGTTAGGATTGCAATAGGGGCCAGTATTCTGTCATGTGTCCTGAGCCCCGGCGGGGAGAGGGGGTCAAAGGGGAGATGAGTAGCTGGTTGATAAGCTTATTTTCTCTTAAGTAACAATGAGCTCTTAGGTCATGCAGACCTCCCTGATGGCATCCGGAAGTTTGATCAGCGTAAGACCCTCCCACATACCTTCCATAGTTAAACAACCACTATTCACACAATGTGTAACTTCCTCAATTGCTCCTGCAGATGACATAAGCCTAAGACTGGTTTTTGAGATAATTTTCAGACTTTGCATTCAGGTGGACCAACAGACCCCACCCAAACCTGTGACCCATACCAAGGAACTGACTCCACTGGTCCTGTGACTGCCCCCAGCCCACCCAGAAACCGGCTCTGCCAGGAAGACCATTTTCAGCACCTCCATGACTTTATCCCCAACCAATCAGCAGTGCCTATTCCCTAGCCCCCGCCTACCAAATTATTATTATTATTATTATTATTATTATTTTTTAGTTGGAGTCTCACTCTGTCACCCAGACTGGAGTGCAGTGGCCGCTCCCGGCCACCGCAGCCTCGACCTGCTGGGCTCTGGCGATCCTTCCTCCTCAGCCTTCCAAGTAGCTGGAACTACAGGCGCGCGCTACCACGCCCGCTAATCTTTTGATTTATTGTAAAGATGAGGTCTCCCCAAGTTGCCCAGGCGGGTCTCGAACCCGCGGGTTCAGGCAATCCACTCACCTCAGCCTCCCAAATTATTTTTTTAAAACCCTACCCTAGGCTGGGTGCAGTAGCTCGTGCCTGTAACCCCATCACTTTGGGAGTCTGACATGGGAGAATCGCTTGAAGCCAGGAGTCCAAAACCCACCTGGGCAACATAGCAAAACCCCCTCCCTACAAAAAGGAAAAAAACAAACACCCTAGCCTAAAATTCTCAAAGAGGCAGATTTGAGAAATATCTACAATCAGCTGCTTTGCGATTATTAAACTTTCTCAATTACAGTTGTACTGTCCCCCTACATTGGCTCTTTTCGTGCAGCAGGCACATGGGCAGGTGTAACACTCACTGTCTCTTACATCCTACCTTAAATTTTGTCTGTGAGAGATGAGAGAGAAAAATGCCAGCCACTTCAGGCACAGGAGTTGCTCAGATTTGGAAGCCAGGATCCTTAGACTAAATGACCTTGAGCAGATATCTAGCCTCTTTAAGCCTGGGTTTCCTCGAAGCTGTTTTTTTTGGGGAGGGGGGGTTGTTTTGCGGTGATGGTGGGGGGTGTTGGCTGTTTGTGTTGCTTTTATTAAATGATGCTTGTAAAGGGCCCGAAGCAGGCAGGCACTCAGAACCCATCAGCGAGGTAGTGGACGTCCCCCTCCGGCCTCCTTTACCTTTGGAACAGCAGCAGGTGAACCACTGCCGGCGCCACCTTCTCCACCACCGCGGCGATGAAGTTGTACCGGCTCCTGAGCCGGCCCGCCCTGCTGGTCCCTGTGAAGAAACGCTCCAGGCTTGGGGGGACAGGCTCCCTAACCGCATCAGACCTCCTATCCCACATCTCTATCGCCTCTCTTTTCCCACTCTCCACTGTTCCCCGCCTTCCCCTCCTGTGCGGCCTTTAAGAATATACCTTGAGGGAACCAGACCTGTCATCATGGTTGGAAAAATATTTGTAGGCCGAGCTCGGTGGCTCAGCCTGTAATCCCGGCACTTTGGGAGTCCGAGGCGAGTGGACTGCCTGAGCCCGCGGGTTAGAGACCCGCCTGGGCAACTTGGCGAGACCTCATCTCTACAATAAGTCAAAAATTAGCCAGAAGTGCTAGCGCGCGCCTGCAGTCTGGCTACTTGAAAGACTGAGGAGGAAGACTGCCGGAGCCCAGCAGGGCGAAGCTGCAGTGGCTGTGAGTGTGCCACTGCATAAAAACCTGTCGCACAGGTTGGACGACAGAGTGAGATTTCAACTCAAAAAATAAATGAATAAATAAATAGATAAGGTAACGGCCAGCACAGTGGCTCATGCCTGTAATCCCAGTGCTTTGGAAGGTTGAGGAGGGAGGAACTCTTGAGGCCAAAAGTTCAGGACCAGCCTGAGCAACACAGCGAGACCCAGCCTCTACAAAACATTTTTTTTGGGGGGGGGGAGAGCAGTATTTTACATACAAGGCTGGTAATTTCTTCATTTGACTTCAGCCAATTTGTT